CTATTTTAGCTCTCTTGGTGATTTCGCCCTGCAGAATGTAACACAATAGCATTAGCAAGCGTATGTGCAAAAAGCCGTATCACATGACAATCAAAAATATTTAAGGATATAAAGCTACATCTCATATTTATTATAAATATTTATATATGTATAAAGGGTAAAAATTATATTGTTTCCGTAATCCTTTTTTAGATTCTCAAAAGATTTGAAATTTACCATGTTTCTGTTATTTAACAATATTATTTTGTAATTATATTTTCCGTAGATTCATTCCGATTTTCTTTTTTACGTCCCTGATTGCACTTATGACATTTTTTCCGTGTATATTTAAATAGACCTAGTTCATAACTTTAAATGTTGCTTTATTTTGAACGTTGTGCGACGGTTAACAGGGTATAGCAGTAATATACTATAAAACCTATTCGCCTATTTAAGTCTCCACTCTGATTTTCTGGATTTTTTTGCTGTTCTATATTTTGTTTGAAGGCAATGGATTTGATGGTAGTTTGTGGTGGAATGTTGATTTGCGAATATTGTGACATTTTTACAACAGAAACTTTCGTCTCAATTTTAACATGGGTTGTTATGGGTTATTGATATGAATGTAAGCACACTGGTGGATCAGACGAGGTTTTCAGTAATTCTTTGAATAGTAAGATTGACCTCCCAATAATCAATTAACAGACTTTGTTCATTTTGACTACTTTTTTGTATTTCCAAAGAAAATACCAGAGGAACTTGAAATTCTATCAAATAACCAATATTAATGATTAATGTTAATATCCATCCAAAAGTACCCCTATATAATATATAAATAAACTTATACCATATAGGGGGTATACTTTGGATATTATAGACCTGTATATTTTGGAATATTATAGTTTTAAATATTGATATGATTTTCAAGTTCCTGTGGAAAAACATTTAATATTCTAATCTCTAAAGTATATGATGAACAATGTCTTTCGTCCGCCCATTCATAAATGATAAACAATTCTGGTTAACACCAAATAACCATTGAAAGGTTTATAAGTACATCATGTCATCAGATGTCCTATAAGTTCATCTTCACTTGCCGCATTCTTGCTTGGACGCCCTTTGATGCTGTGCATCAATGCTTTTCCTGTACTTCCTGTATAAGAATAGTGTGATTATTTTGACAAATTTTGAGATATACGGGTACCATGGGAAACTGCCATTTTTTAAGAAATGCAACACGACAACATATATTTTTTTTCTTTTATTTTTTAATTCTTCATTTAATTTAACCTATCATTGAAAAAAAATCTATGAAAGTATTAATTTACCGAAAGCTGGTAGAACATTTTTTAAAATCACTAAAACAGCATGAAATGAATAGAAAATAGTTTGTTTGCATTTAAGATCGAAACATATTCCACTCGTGAATACCAGCTATTATATTTTCTGTTTATATTTTATATGCATCTGTTGTTCACTCAGTGAAATATATTTCGATCCTTACACGCAAAAACAAACAAATATCCTTTATCTATGAAATGTTAGGTATTGTCCAACAACATTGACCTGGCACTCTTGCATTTGACCCTGTAGTCGGTAATATTCCGTAAAACGTTACGATCTACTTGTAAATCGATATGAATGTATAAATATCTAATTGTTAAAATGATGTTAATTAAAAAAACTCTCTAGTGCAGTTGGTAAAGAGAGGTTCACTTGAAGATAGCCTAATTAATTTGGCGTGAACGGTTTGACCCATTTTACAGACTTTTTTTCTTACTGTCAAACCGTTACGCCTAATTTTAACACGGAAAATCTACCGGTAACACTATCGATAGTTTGGACTGATTTTACTGCTTAAACATGAAAGTAACTTCAATTACCTCTAAAGATCAATAGAATATTAATTTTAGTACTAACTTCTCCTAGAAAAAATATTAGATTGTACCTGTCTTAACGCATACACGCGATTTATTTCAAATTTGTACTGTCTACTCTATCTTCGGCGGACATGTTATGACGTCATCGTAAAAAATCGATTCCGTGAAAGCTGGTAGTAGCTACCAGTGTGTCTAGCAGGTAAGTGTGGGTTACGCATGAAGATTAAATTAAACAAAATATCGGGGGAAATAAATCTATTCATTATTTTTTTAATAAATGTGTCCATTATTAAATACTATTGAAAAGTATCATTGGTATTTAACCTAAATGCAATGGTCGCAAATAGGCTCCGTACAAGTAGGGCCTACTGTTGTTTAATATTTTTTAAATATTTTAATACATGTATTCAACATTTATCAATTGGTGGTTTGCCTTCTTGTTTACTGCTAATGACTGCCAAATGTCACTCTCGGATAAAATAGTGACTTCATTTATACATGCATATTTATATGACAATTAAGAACGTAAAAGAAATATTGAAGGAAACTATTTGAAATACACTTCAAATTATTCAGTATTTGTACAAATAATATTTCAAGAGCTTTTTTTCACCGATTGCCGATATATAATACCATATTAAACCTATTGATAAAGTTAAATGTCTTTCTTGACATACTTTATTAATTTACTAAAAAGGAACTTTATTGTGATCCAGCCATATGCTGTGCAACTATAAAAGGAAGGTCACATATTTTAATTGAAATAAATTTTAAGTAGAGGATATTAAAAAAAGTCATTGAGAAGATCAGAATTTTCAAATGAAAAGATTTAAGAGACTTATAAATGTATAAGGTGTATGTCTTTTGTTTCATACTGTTTTTGGTGACACTTTTGTTTGTGTCCCTTGTTGTTTCTCGTCTATGGTAAGTATCTTCCCTTTGCCCCTAGTTTTATATTCTTTATTTCGCCCCCTCCCCCGAATTTCCCTATCCCTTCCCCTGTGCCCGTTAACTTTTTTTTTTATTTTTTTTTTATTTTTTTTTTTGAGGCCCCATCTGGGTAACCCCGTTTATTTACCCCGTAATAGGTATGAGGGGGTCGGGGTCATCCTCCATCATACCTTACATTGTTAATATACAAAATACATGTTGCAAAATAATTATATTCATGTAAATATTGTCAAATACATCTACAGTATATATTTTGCATATAAATATAAACAACATACATACAATAAACCCATCTATTTTCCAAAAATATTTTACCAATAAAAATACTACTTATTAATAAACAATTAAACAATCTGTTACGAGGTAAAGTTTTGTTTCACATATTAAGTGTAGTTTAAGCAATTAAGGATCTTATAATTGACCATCTATTATTTTCATCATCTGTCAAATGTGTATTTCTATAGATATTCCATGCTAATTTCAAACTATTTTTAAAACCAATCCATGTAGGTAAATGTTTTTTCTCTTAGACAAATAAATATATCTTTTCAATTCTAGAAACAATATGTCATATTTAAAATCTTTAGTTTCTGTACCTAATATGAATGATTTACAACAAAGAACATCATCAAAATTATGTAAGTTTTCTCTAAGGTATTGAAATAGGCTTTTGAATTTTCTGGCATTCCCAAAATAAATGTAAAAGTTTTCTTCACAGCATGTACAAAAAGTACAAATTTTAATTGTCAACAATTTTCATTTTAAACAAAAGTGAGTTTTTTGTAGCTAAAGTTCTATGAATAATTCTTGTTTGGAACCACTGAATATATGAATCTTTAGAACATTTGAAAACATAACTATATATTAACTGCCAATTAATGTTATTATCTTTAAAACAAGTGTTCCAACTTTCTTGACTTGTAGGTATGTCTGAATTTTTAGCTATAATTTCATAAACATATTTCTTATTGTTATTCATAGTTAAAATAGGTTTAACATAACAATTTATTATAGGATATTGAACATTAAGCAAATTGTTACTAATAAAAATATTTAACTTTTGCATGTACATTTTTATTGCCTGTTTTAAACTATGATACTGTAAAAAGTTCACAGGTTTACCTGTGACCTGTTCTAAATATATCAAATCTACAAAGTTACCCTGTTCATTTATAATATCTTTTACAAATCTGATTCCTTTATTATATAATTTCTGAATGTAAATATATCTATTTCCTGCTAAAAAGTTGCGATTTTATAAAATTGGCATATGTGCCCGTTAACTTAGTGGTCCTGTTTCATACTGTTTTGGTGACACTTTTGTTTGTGTCCCTTGTTGTTTTCTCGTCTTTGGTAAGTAACTTCCCTTTGCCCCTAGTTTGATTTCTTTATTTCGCCCCCTCCCCATTCCCCGAATTTCCTATCCCCTTCCCCTGTGCCCGTTAACTTAGTGGTCCTATTAATCATTCATTTATTTATTTTCTTTGATTTCCTTCTCAGTTACATTTTAGTGATAAGCCTGACCGTGCTCTCCCTTGCGCCCTGTCCCGTTTTAATTTAGGATCCTCCTGGGCTCCTTGCCAATGGTTCTTGTTCCTGGGTCGTGTTGGGGTTGCGTTCATTGAACGCCGCCTTTCCTTGTTCATCTTGTTTATCATATTGTATACATGTATACCGAACCGTAACAAACAGATAATGATTATCAATACAAGGTTCGGCAAGCAAGCAAAGAAATGTAAAGAAAACAGAAAAAACTTATCCACATACATGTATCCACCCTCCAAAAAAAGCCCACCAAAAACGCCTGAAACTGCAAAATCGAAACATAAATACACATGAGTGCCAAAAGACGGCTCTGGTAGGTGCAAGTGCTCCCTTTCGCCGGTTTAAACATAATTGATCACTTAAACATAATAATGTTGAAATTTTTAAATCAACATCCACAGATGTGTACATAATACGGCGGTAATCATGGAACTTTCAATGTGACACATTCGAGGTGCCGTTCAATGAAAAGCGGGAACTAGATAACATGGAATTTTAAATGGGTATCAGAGGTTTTGGTGTCCTTTTGCGACAGTCGTTCTAACATTTCTCCCATCTGTCTTACATTGTTATGCTATTCAACGTCTTAATAACGGTCACTAAATTTCCGCTTGCTGCGTTTTTATCATAAACCCCGTCATATGTGACAAGCTAAGCGATTTTTGGCCCAAATGTGATATTTGGGCGAAAATGAGTTATCACTACTTTGTGGTAGAACAACATCTGCTGGATAGCTGGAAATAATTATTTTTAAAAAATACTTGATATTTTATGAAATATTCTAATTTGTATGACATCACCATAACAACAAAAAATACATTTTAAACTTTTATTGGTATATATAAACTAGAAATAATTCCATAGTTATACCCAATAAAATAAACAAAATATAAAGTGATCATTCATCTTGGTGAAATATATGTAATATCTTGATATAAAAATATCATTTGTTTTCAAAAATCGGTTGCCATGGCAACAAAAATAACAAAAATTGTCAAATGCAATATTTTTGCACTTAACATGTTTAATTCATCACCAAATTAGTGCATATATTATATTAAAAGACAATAATATTAAAGACTTTTCAGAAAAAAAAAGATTTTTCATTTTTCCCATAAATAGTTATTGATAATGACTTTAAACGTAAGAATTAAATTCTCAGAATTTCAGTAACTTTTCCATGATCAAGGTGAATATCATAACTGAAGTTAGTCCACTTTAAAACGCACAACTATAACATGATAGCATATACAATATGAATCCAATGCAAATCAAATATCCTTAAATGCACTGACTGCAAAAATGGTGTATTTTGGTTGCCATGGTAACAAAAAAATGCAAAAATAACTGAATGTTTTAAAATAATTGCATTTTATGAAAATTTTTCCATATAACATAATTGTATTCACAATAACTTCAAAAGTCTTTCAGAAATTTAACCAAATAAAATAGGAAGAGCTTGCACTAGTTATGTTCCTGACTATATTTTCAGATATATTTACAGATATTGACAGTGTAATCATATTCTGATCAGTGTATTTTAAATTGTATAATATGAATAACATATTAGTATATTTTTAAATTGCAATAATTTCAACAAATTTAAAACCATTACAATAACAGGTTTTTGCAATCACACGGGAAGTCACAAATGACAGCTCACATATGTGACAATGTCCTTGAATGTAGTCTTGCAAACCCAGGTTGGTGGTTTGACCCAAACAGGGTAATAACAACTATGTCTCCCCATAAGCCCTCAGTTTTGTAAGAAGAAAGGGAGTTTCATATATAAAACTTGCAAATCATTTTTTCACAATTAAGTAAAACACTGTAACATCTGCCACTGCAGTATTCAGCTTTTTCAGGGATACTTTGTGAGACAAATTCTATGAGAATGTAATTCACTTTTGGTATACTGTCAAACATAGACAAGTCATTGACTTCTCACATGCCATCCTGAAATAACAAAAACCTGAATAAGTATAAATGAAACAATTAAGTGTATATGATGATTTGACTGAACAGAAATGAACTACAAGTAAATTGTTGTATAATAATGCACAGCTATTGGATTCATAAAATGTCATGTTCATCATGTAAGTTCTTGAACATGACTAAAATAATCTGAAACTACATTATGTGCATGTATTGTGGTGAAGACACCACACTCTTTATTTCAAAATGGAATACTGCATAAATATACATGCTTACCCAATTGAAGTGTTTTTTATCTTGACCAATACAGTACAGTTGATACAAAATGATTGTCTTTTACTCCATAACCCTGGTGTTCAATAAGACATAGAACTATGCCACACATTGTGCCTCATTTCCAACAATAGTTTTGTATATTCATCAGCAAATAGGTGAACTATCTATGTGTTCTGAAAATTATGTATATGTACTTTAAGAGCTTAACATTAGACATTAGACAGAGTATTCATTAGACATAAGACAGAGTATTTGCATAAAACAATGTAGCATTATTTCTTAATATAAACTTACAATTTAGTTCATGTTACTGTACAGAGTTATTTAATTTTAAAACAATATTTTTAAGATCTCATCTGACATCATATATAAAATGTTAAATTGCAAATAAGTTATATTGCTTTCAACTGCAATTAAGGACATTTATCATTATCATTATTAGGTAAAAAGGGTTGAGAATGGTCAGTTTATGATGATTATTTACATATATGTATACAATAATTACAATCACAGTAAATCATTTGATCTTTAAACCAAGTATCAAAACACTTACCAGTACATTTTCTTGTAATCTTGAAGAATATGGCTCCAACATGTTGGATAATCACATTATCTACTTCAAAACGGTCATGAACTAAGCTGAAGATCTTAAATGCATGTTGGCTGTCAGACCTAAAACAACAACACAAAATATCTTATCAGCAAAAAGTTCTGGCTTATAAATGTTAAAAATATCCTGGTAGCAGGGCTTCTGTTAGAGGAAGTTTGGGAGTCAATTACTCCTTGATTTTGGCTGATTTTCCTTCTTTACGGTTACCTTTAAAGAGTCTTCCAATTACAGACATTTTGCAGTCTTTGACTGCCAATGTTTGAAACTTAATGTAAGCCCTGCTGGTATAATATGCTATGATTTATTGTACAAAGGGCTAATAATAATAAATTCATTTAGATATTTATCTATGGTGACATCTTCAATCACAGTACTAGATAATATTTATTGTATTTCAAAAGCAGCATGCAGTACAGGGATAACATATTCTTTACTAAATTGATCTTGAATTGTAATAGAAATTCATTTGTCAATAATTACAGTACTGTAGCCTTGCCATATATTTTCTTTTTTAGAAATAGTTTATACATTATAAATCTACTTGATGTAGATCTATATCAAGCTCATTCATTGTAAACAAATTGCAAAATATGTTATGTGTCCAGTTACATTTTTTGTCATAGTGATGTAGAAAAATATAGACTACTGTAAACATAAATGAAGTGGCAACTTTTGTTGTTGTTTTTTCATTGCAGCCTGAACATTAATTCATTTTGTAATGTAATCAAGGTATAATTTAGAAAAAAAAATTTACAATTACTTTCTAAAAAGACAATGACAAATACAAATCGAGTGCAATAAACAATGTATCCCGAAAAAATGTGTCTGTCATGATCTGATCTAGATACTTGCCATGTTTTTATATAAACCAGTTCAAGTGTCATGGTCCCATTTATTTAATTGTATAAAGTAAACATACGATGATTATTCAACATATCAGAAAAAATAATAAACAGCATAAATAATAAAAGATTCACTTACCTTATTATTTATTTAAACCTCCAAATATGCAGTAACATAGAACTGACGTAAAAGGTAGTGAATCTACTGGTCGGAGAGATAACTCCGACGCATAGATAACCCCGACACTTGATAAATATAATTGTTTTAGCTTTGTTTTTCAACAAACAAGCACATGATCATCTAATAGTATAGGAACAGGACAGAATGTGATGATTTGTTATAATTTGGTAGACTTTTTAATGTTTTACAAATAACCTAAACTTTTTGTAGGCAAAAACTGCTTCAAAACGTTCTTTTTACTAAATTACAGTAAGGTAGTTAGAAATGTATTGACCACAGGCCACTGACGGAAATATTTTTGAAAATTGTTTAAATATTTACAAAAAATAGATAAACCATATAAGATGTAAAAATAAATTATTGATGCTGATTTTCCAGTCATTTTTTACTTAAAAATTTAAGTGTCGACTTTATCTACTGTTGTGGGGTAAAAAGACCATGTTTTGTATACCTCATTCAAGACCTTAAAGAAGTACCAGATTCCATTTTCATACATAGTTTTTGTGGTGTAATGTAAAGTCTTTGAACTGAACTTTGTTTAGGTGGTTCAATATTTAAAATATACTGGAAGATAATTAAAATATTGCAAAAAAATATGTGATTTAGTGTCGGAGTTATCTCTCCAACCAGTACATGTGTTTACTCGCTGACCTGACTCCTGAGTTTACACAGTGTATTTATTCTAAATATAGATTTTTGTGAAATGTTTATCGTGTGGAAGCTGAGAAGGGCTGTTCAACAAGTATTTTTTGATTTCTTTCTAGTTTTTTTTTTCTTTCAATTTTCAAAGATACTCTGTTTTGAAAGGAAACCATAAAAATTAAGACATGAAAACTCGCGTGACTTTGCAAGCGTTTTTCTCACAATGATTAAAAACTCAATTGGGCCAAAAATCGCTGAGCGCGTCACATATCTGTGCGACAATTGTATTTTACTGAGGACTGTCTGAAATTCCATTTTATAGTTTGAAATTTTAAGATTTTTTTTTTCAGAATTTTAAAGTTTTTTTTGGTTGTTTTGAACTTCTTCCCCTACACAACCGTCCTCAATTTCTTTTAAAGAAAATAAACTAGAAATTGATATGAAGTGTAATATAAATTGAAGTTCTTCTTTGCTTCATCATGTATAGTATTAATATAATTCATTAAGATGTACCTACAATTACATTGTATTTTCGTATGTGGGAAATCATGGCAGGGTTATAAAATAAAAAGGTAGTTCCGAAATTTCACCTAATGATCACAGATGTAAAAAAATCCAACTTAATAGTATCTAATTTGACAATTTAAACGGACTTAAATGCAGAATGATCTGACATCGGACATCATAAACTATTTAATTTCTAAGTAAGGTTATCAGAATTTCTTTTTCACCTCTTTTTAATGCTGAAATATTTGTGTCTGAATAAAAGAGTTATTCCTGATATAATTCATATAAATAACATAAACAAATTATAAAATAAAGCTTGGCAAATACAATCGATTGCCGCCGATACCTGTGTTACACCATGGAAATTTACAATTTTACCATGACACCGCTTTCCAATATGGCCGCGTTCAATAATTTTCAACGATTAAAAAATTAAAGTCGAATATTTAGACTTCTGTTCGACTTTGAAGTCTGATAATTTGGAACCTTGCATAAAAAACGATTCTCTTTCAGGTAATGTAGACCGTTTCTTTGAAACTTTTCTAGTTTTCGCTCCCAACAACTTCTAATTGGGAAGCGTCCGTGCATAAAAATGCAGTTCGTGGTTGGACTTGGAAAAAGACAGCGCCCGTCCAAAATTATCTCGGTGTCTCTTTGACAAGTCTAATTAGTTGGACTAATTTTGACCACAAAGCTATAATTTGAACCATTGGCCCCAAAGCACTCACCTGAACCAGGTACGTATATTAACGGTATCCGCAACTCTATACAGTAAATCAATAACGGTAAATTATGCTGTCGTGGCAGATTTATTGATTTTTATCGACGATTACATATCATGAAGCGGTGTTAACTAGAAATTGATATGGAGTGTAATATAAATTGAAATTCCTCTTTGCTTCATCATGTATAGTATTAATATAATTCATTAAGATGTACCTACAATTACATTGTATTTTCGTATGTGGGAAATCATGGCAGGGTTATCAAATAAAAAGGTAGTTCCGAAATTTCACCTAATGATCACAGATGTTAAAAAATCCAACTTAATAATATCTAATTTGACAATTTAAACGGACTTAAATGCAGTATGATCTGACATCGGACATCATAAACTATTTAATTTCTAAGTAAGGTTATCAGAATTTCTTTTTCACCTCTTTTTAATGCTGAAATATTTGTGTGTGAATAAAAGAGTTATTCCTGATATAATTCATATTAATAACATAAACAAATTATATTATAAAGCTTGGCAAATACAATCGATTGCCGCTGATACCTGTGTTACACCATGGAAATTTACAATTTTACCATGACACCGCTTTCCAATATGGCCGCTTTCAATAATTTTCAACGATTAAAAAATTAAAGTGGAATATTTAGACTTCTGTTCGACTTTGAAGTATGATAATTTGGAACCTTGCATAAAAAATGATTTTCTTTCAGGTAATGTAGACCGTTTCTTTGAAACTTTTCTAGTTTTCGCTCCCAACAACTTCTAATTGGGAAGCGTCCGTGCATAAAAATGCAGTTCGTGGTTGGACTTGGAAAAAGACAGCGCCCGTCCAAAATTATCTCGGTGTCTCTTTGACAAGTCTTATTAGTTGGACTAACTTGAAGAATGCAGACATAAACTGGTAGGTTCGAACCCAATTTCACCGATTTATTTTTTTATATTATTTCATTTTAAAATTGCCATTCTCTTTAAACTATTGCACACCTTTTATGTGTGTACTATTTATGTAGTATTTTAATATATGCCTTTATAGCGTGCATGTGCTAAAGCATACATGTATACAATTGCATAATGTTACAAAAAGAACCGTTGAAAGAAAGATACGGTAATGAAATAAAAAATATATTTGTATATAAAACACCACTTAAGAGGTATTCTAAAACCAGATGTTCTGAATAAAACGATTTCAAATTAATTCTTGCAAGTAAATTATAAAAAAAAATAACGTGGTGTTGGTAAGGAATCGAACCAGAGACCATCAGATTGGTAGTCCGACATCTATACCAATACACCACACCTCACTTACGAGTGAGGTTAGCAAATATATCGATATATTCGATAGATACAGGTCAGTATTTATTCATATGACCTTTACGAAAGTTAATGAAGTGCCAGGTCAATATTGTTGGACAATATAAAGATCGTTCAAAATATAAACAGATGACAAATATAAACATATTTTAAAATTAGACCACATCGATTACGAAAGTTTAATACATCTAGTAAGGGTGTTCCAAAATTAAAGTTACTTTTGTGTTTTCTCTTTGATATAAGTAGTTAAGATTATTTTAGCTTGCCTGCCCCTCAAAGTACTCCCCCTCTACCCTAATGCACGTTTTCAGCTGATCAATCCACTTTTTTGTATATCAGGAAATACAATGCTGACATTCTATCTCAGGCACAGTTTTCCCGACAAACCTAACAACAAGTAGTTCTCAAAACAGCTTAAAACCAGCGATGTAAAAGGAAGAAATATTATTATTTTGTTACAAGTATCCATCAAATTACCACGCATTTAAAGTTTAAATAAAGTAAGGATGTTGACTCTAGGACAGGGACAAATTTAAGGCAGTCGACGATCGATAATCAATTTCCAATTTCTATCATTAGTAAAGCACCCGATAATTTAATCCACGTAAACAAAATGCTATTTTAGAGCTGTCGATTACCGAAAACTTGCGCTTATTAGACAAAAAAATCTGACTGTCGAGTAGTGAAATATATACATGTCGGACTGTTTGGGCGAGAAGATTTTCGCCAAATCATTAACATCCATGTTAAACAACATGTTTACCTAGAAAATAATAAGAATTACAAACTATTAATTGAAATTCTAAAGTTAGAATGGTATGGTTTTATTCAGACTTTATTTCATAAAACATCACCGTGGCGAGGAGTTACACGCTCGTTTACAATGTGAGAGGTCTGGAGTTCAAATCTCTGTCGTGGCAATTAATTTTTAGACGATGTTTTTTAAAGAATTAGGCAGGCTATACAAGGATCTAGAGTGGCTGTCATAAAGAAAAAATAAACATAAATGATTTCATGATGCAAGTAGAAACTCTGGTAATGCAAAAGTTGGAGCGTATCAAAATGAAACTGTCATGGCAAAATATCTAAACGCACTCGCAGCAAATCGGTGCCCTGCAAGATGAATTATAGTATTTCAAAATAAACTGATACAGGAAAATACATACAGATATACAGTATGATTTAGATTGCAAAGATCAGAAAATACCACAGAGCTCGCAGCCCTTTGATTGAAACAGTTTTCGTACTGTTTATTGGGTATACTCATAAGATACTGGTAAATGGCAGAGCCCAGAGCATTTCTTGACTTGTATCTTTTTCTAGACAGGTGAAATTTTAGTTTGGGAAACAAGAAATAGTCACAGGGGGCTAGTTTTTCGTGAAAAAGCGGTGTGGGTGAGGACAGTGACCTTTTCCGCTTTCAAAAACTGCGTTACAATTCATGCATTGTGAGCTGGCGCATTGTCATGCAAGAGTATGAGATACTTCAAACATGTATGTGGGCGGCGGCGTTTATAGTTTTACTTAAGTTTGCGAAGTAAAACTTCTATATAGAACTTGCCTGTCACAGTTCTAACTTTCGGCACAGGAATTTGCACGACTGGCTCTTGTTATCAAAGAATATTACATACAAACGCTTTCTCACGGGTCGTATTCTTTTTAGCAATGCTAGATCGCCTTGCGTTTTGATGGCCCAGACTTGATAAGAGCATTTTTGTTTGGGTTTGAAAAAATACACCCATCTTTCTTCACCTGTGACCAAATTGCGAAAAGCCTTTTTGCTGAATTTCGGGTATTTTTTTTTTTTTTTTTTTTTTCAAAAATAAATTTGGCCTTTTCAACTCGGGACCTCTTTTGGTCGTCAGTTAGTAAATGTTGTATCCACCTAGCATTAACCTTAGCCCAAGATGTTTCTTCAAAATGCAATGAACACGTGCTAAAGGCAAGTTTGTCATTCCAGCTAACTGCCTGACAGTGTACCTTGCGTCTTTCTTCAGGATTTGTCGAATTCTTTCAATGTAATGTTTTGTCGTTGTTGTTGCAGGGTGGTCTGTGTGAGCAGCATCTTTCAGCTGCTAGTGTCCCG